TCGTTTGACCGACATGCTGATCTGGCAGGAGACGGCCTCCACGGCCTGGTAACAAGAGAGCAGCCCAGGTGGCGTGATGCTCACGCAGAAAACCCAGACCCAGATCTGTAGCCAAAGCTCATTTTAAAAAACATGCAGCAGGTCCACCTTTGCGCCTTTGAGATGGACTTTGAGACCGGGTCACTGGGCAAAGCCGCCGCAGCTGCACAGACCTCAGACGAGAAACACAACATTACATCCATTCAGCTGTCATCAGCAAGGTATAAACACTGACTGCAACTGTCAAACAAGCCCAGGGATTCAGGCTGAAGAAACAAAAGCTCTCTCCCCAAATATATCTGACTTTCTACCATTCTATTTAAAACTGTGTAAGATGGAAAAGGGGCGGAGTCAGGTGACGAACGCACCCATTCGTTCCACCTGTGCCGAATCCCATTTGCTGGCCGTTCCTTGACCTGACGTTCCTTTCATTTCCATTGGCTAAACTTCCTTCCCGTTCCTCTCACCCCTGCGCTCTGTTTCAGGCCCATCTCCACTCCCGTACCCAAATAAAGTCCCTGATCCTTCCATCACGTGGTTCCGTTCATCTGGGGTGAATGTTAACTTGAAATAACACGGCTCTATTTATAGCAGATATCTTACCCTTTTAAATAATATTTGTAGAGCCCTTCTTCAACAGTCTAACAGAGGAAGTCATCCCGTTTCCCAAACTGTGCGGAGCTTGCACAGGACAGGATTCGTGTGTCAATTTGAAAAAGTTTCCAAGGAGAGCCGTTAAAACACGGAGACCTAAAACTGAAGCGAGGGGGAACGAAGGCCGGCTACCTTGTGGAAACTGGGTCAGGCTTCCCAGTTTAGGTTTCCTGGAAGACGGCTTCCTTAACTGCAGCGCTGATGTAGCTCTGCCTTGAAGCGAAGCAGGTCTGGCCTCCTCGTGTAAATATGAGAAGCAGAGGAGTGTGCACCAACCCCGAACTCACGCCCCTCTAAGCCACCCTTAGCAGCCTTTCGCAGCGTTGATATCATGCTGTTTTCTAAAAGATCCTCAGTGTTTTTCATGAACGAAATAAATAAACCAGCAGGAGTCCCATACGCTACTGCAGAAAATGGCATTCTATGTCACAATGAAAATCAACCAATACAGCCTGATCATACTACATTCCATGAAGAAAAACCAGTCTGAATGTATGAACGCAGTACTAAGGAACTCATAAAACAATATAAACAAAATCACATCCTGTTATTCTGAATGAACTATGTACTTGAATTCGTTGGGAGGTGTGGTGGTGCAGTGGTGCAGTGGTTGGCACTGTTGCCTCACACCTCTGGGACCAACGTGTGAGTCTCCAGCTCTACCCTTGTGGAGCGTCATGTTCTCCTGTGGCGTCATTTCTCCGCATTTACCAGCTTCACCCCACACTCCAAAAGGTGAAGTGAAGCTGCCTAACTGCCTGTAGGTGTGAATGGTGTGTAGGCTCAGGAACCTCCATGACCCTGAAGAGGACAAGTGGGTATCGAAGATGGAGAGATGGGTCTTTAATTTTGAGTTTGATTTCCAGTGTTGTAAAAAGCCAGTTCACTGAGGGCTGTGGGAACGCTTTGTACAGAGACAATATAGCAAACTGGTGCAGCGCTGCAGTACCTGTCCTAACCTGCAGAGGGCCCAAGGCCCATTTGACTGGACACAAATGCAGCTCAGGCAGCGCCTGTTTATGGGGAAATCACTCCGTTCCAGCTGAGAGAGTGAGAGAAGCCCATCCTTCTTAGTCCAGCCAGCTTGTGTCCCCTGTGACTCCTCACCACCACTGTCTAATACCCATAATCCCCAGTGATGTTCGCTGGGTGCCCACCGCATTGTGGAAAGAACTGAGTAAATATTACTACGCTCCTGGCATGATTCTGATCACCAGGACAAGGTGTGTAGTCATTTTCATCTTTCCTGAGACTTCAGACCGAATTAACTGGCAATTCCACCTTTTCACAACGAAATGGAAAATGGGAAGAGGGCAGAAGTCAATTCAGTTTGATTTATTTTTATATAGCGCCTTTCACGACAGAGTCATCCCAAAGCACTTTATGTACAGAATAATAATTTAAAAAAAAAACAGAAGAGAAAAAAGAGTGAACAAAAGCCAGATGATAACAGAGGACAGGAACCAAAAACTTCCAAATAGGGAGAAAAAAAGCTTCTGGGGGCCCAAGGTCAACTGGCTGGCCAACCCCCCCAGGAATGTTAACATTACTGAAAAGGGTGGACTTGCATACTAAAAGAAAGGTGTAAACTGTGATTAACTTCAAAGCCAATCCGTCAATGAGTCTGTTCTCCATGCTGGCCTGTGTAGGGCGGCAGATTGAAGGCTGTACCCATGATGTTAAACATCATAAGTCACATCCACAATGGCACCCCTCCATGGGACTGAACCAGGACTGCAGCCCAGATTGTGCCCATCCAGACATGTGGGGAGGCAGAGACCATGGATGGTCAGAACATGCATAGACACATTAATGGACAAGCACAGTAGAGCCAAAGGGCTTGTACAGCAGCAACAGCAGCCATAGTTACAGTGTCCGTGGTTCCACCAACCCACTGTGCAAACAGGAAAAGATTTTAAAGACCAAGCTGCGAACCGCTCTGATCACCTCATTAAGAGAGGCACCCGCAGGTGGGATCGGAGGAGAAACACTCAGGAAAACATCTCACAGCAACAGCATAGAACAACTCACAGCCAGGGTTACGGAGAGGATAAAAGAATTTTCCAGAAGCTAGGAGGTACTACAAATCACATGGAAATCCCAAAGTCTCCCAGGTTCTGATAGACTTTGCTTATGTTCATCCATATTGGGATGGTAATGTTTTTCTTTAGACATTCGAAGTGGAGGGGTAGGTGTCAAAGCTGCCATTATCTCCCTAGGGCATTGGCTGAATGAATGCAAACAGGCTTGTTTTCACCGACACAGAATTTCCCAGGAAAAGGTCAAACGACGACTCATGTCTTAGGGGCTGGGAGTGCCGCTGTCTTCAGCCCAGTATTCAAACAGCTTAGGCTCAGCTGGTGGTACGTATGAGTACCCAGTACGATCTCTCACAGCAACAAACACAGCTCTTACCGTCTCAATGGCGGACTATCTCTGGCTTGGCATAATGCAGCCACCTACTCAAAAAGAAAGGTCTGACAGGAATGGGATAGGAAAACTTCAAGATGCATTTAGATGGATGATTAGAAGTTTTGTAGCATTTAGGCCCACCGTTAAAAATGAGACAAGCTGGAGAAGGAAGCTTTGAGGTTGTTATCCAAGTGTGCACACTTGAGCAGACATGTTCCTTAAACAAAGCGTCGCTTAGCCTGGCATCCAAAGTATGATTAAACATGTTGAAGGCAAAGAAAACAAGCCGTTATTTTCCAGGACAGTATGATGGATTTTTCAAGTGGAAGCCATAGATCTCAGTCGAAACACGGAGGCATGGCAGGCCGGCGGAGTCCGCCAGCAGGCCGCATGGCCTAACCTACCGCCTCTCGCTTTGCGGCAGTGAAATGTAAACCGCGTGAAGTTCCGGCCGCCCTCGCTATTTGAGATAGCACAGCTGACTCGACGGGCTGAGGGCCGTCTGAAGAAGACAACTCCCCTCAAAAACCATTAACCGGAGATGAGAAACACTACTCTTATTGTTAACATAACAAGCAGTCATGTAACGTGTGCAGAAACAAAACAGTGGGTAATTATGGGAAAAACAGGCCTACCTCAGACCTCTGTGCATGTGCCCACGGGTGTGTGCGCTTCTGTCCATCTTCTGATGGCCGATCCCCATCAGGGTCACAGGGAATATGAGGGTGCAGCAGTTTGTAAGATGAAGGCTGTATCTTGAGTCATGGAAATTAATCTACTGCTCTGTATATAGATGAACTGGTGACAAGTCTGACAAGAGGGTTTGTGTGACCTAGAGGCTGAAGGAGTGCTACCCTTCAGGACCGCCAAATCTCACTGGTGCTCCCGGACACCCTACATCCTTAAAATTTATTTCTTCACCCTGATTAAAGCCCCCTTTCCTGACACAAGTCGTGGGGTAGGCATAAGAAATTAAATGGGAATTTTTTTGGGAGTTTTTCGAAAGCAGACGACACGCAAATGGTGCCTTTACTCATAAATGCGTGAAATATACAGCCAGTGCAGGTCTGGAGACCCCGTGCATGTTTACGGCAGACTCTCAGGTGATTTCCCGCGGTGATCTCTCAGCGACCTCTCAGTTATTTTTTGTTTCTCATCTTTTCACTCTTTCTTCGCTCGCATGTTCACTTTGCTCACCAAGAGGACCAAAACATTTCACGTGGATTTTCCAGATTGCGGGGGGGGTCTGCGCCCCTAACCCCCGCCACGTGGAAGGGTGGACTGCAAAAGCAAACAGCAAAGAGTGTCAGATGGAAAATAAGTGAATGAAACAGACCATCTCTCACATACACAGGTTGTGCAAGGAATACACCTTCTCAGGGGGGGGGGGATGGAGGTGTCTAATTACGTACTTCATTGTGACCTGGACCCCATATAGAACACCTGAATCCCGGGTACACATTACACTGGCTTAATCATTGTCTTGGTTTTACCCATTTATACACAATAGTAATACGTGGTATGCGAGTACTATGCAGATATGTTTACAAGGCCAAGAAAGTTGAGATAAAGGTGAGATAAACGGTCTGACGTGGGGTGGAATGAGAATTGCTGAAGGGGTCCTGGCCACTGTCTCAGCTCCAGTAAAACACTGTCATCCAGAAGCCTTCCAGCACTCAGCTACCCTGGAATAGCAAGGAAGACACACGTCCGGGCCAGTACCCTCTCTCTGCCACAGCCGTTTGTGGAAGATCAGCATGCAGATGCATCAGATTTGCATGTGTAGGGGAATCCGGCGCTGCCATTGGTCTACACAGCCTGGGGGGGAGGAGCCAGAGTGAGTATCTGTCCCCCAGCTGGCTCTCCCAACCTTGAGAGCAGCAGTGTTAGGATAAGAGTTAGAGGGGAGGCGTAACACCAAAGGACACGTGCCAGGAGTCGAGAGGAGGCGCAGCTGTGCTCAACTCACCAGGGAAAAAGGGAGAAGGCGCTCCTTATTACTGCGGTATCTGCCCATTCTGTCAGAGTAAATCCTAGACCTAGAGACCCGTGGAGCTGACTGGACTCCAGTTGTGCCCGTGCGGATGGTAACCTGGAAGGCCCAGTGCTGACTTGACCGGGGTGCTGGAAACCAGCCCAAGCAGGAGCAAGCTGGTTTTTTTCAAGCAAACGTACAACCTCAGCTGAGAATAGGCTCTCAGAGGAAGTGCAGACCCTAGCACTCACCTGAAGAGTCTCAGAAGAACCACCCTTTGGAGACGCCACAGAATCCAAGAAACGGTCCGGACCATGGAGCCGCTCCAGAGTTCCAGACAGGAATAATATACTGATGCAGTCGGATTTGGAGTTTCCCTAATCTTTTGGCCTGTCTCGTTAATCTTTTGACTAAAGGCTTGCAGTACAACACATCAACCAAAGCCGCTCTGAAGCAGCACGTGATGAAGAGAGCTGCACTCGTCCGCCTTTACTTCTTTTGGAGTCCCGATTCTATTTTCATCAGTCTGTCGCGGCTGTAACATCGATACACTTTTTCCATTAGCGTGATTTGCATAGCCTAACGAGAACGTCGCACCTGTTTCCAGCCCCAGTCAGACCACTGGGGGGATGAGAAGCTACAACGCCTGAGAACGTCTCCTGTGGATCTGTCTTTTGTTGGCGGGTGGGGGTACAGACACTACGAAAGCATGCGGGACTCTCCGAACGCTCAGCTCGGGGCGCAAAGCGGAGCTGGATGATCCCGGCAAGACAGAAACCCCCAGAAGCTCAATCACACCAACAGAGATCAGGAGACATCCAGGAATCTTCAAGCAGCCCATGCAAGCACACTGACTGGCCCACGAGCCCCCTGCCAACATTCCTTGACTTGGGTGTCCCAACCTGGGACACCCTAATGGGCATAACTCAGGACGGCTGAAGAGTCTGGATTAGCCGGGCATACGGTAAGGCCTCATCCTTTCCTTGCAGTGTGGTCACAACATGCCTCCACATTCGCTACTACATAAACACGGGAACGCCTTCCCCATGCCTGGGCCCCGTGGGCTGCCTACCACGTTGTTCATTTTGCTGTCAATAGTTAAATCAATGTTATGTTCATGTATCATAGTAATAGCAAGTGGGAAATCTGAATAGGCGAATGAATTCACACTTCAGGATTTTTCAGCATTAGTTTTTATTAACAGATCAGTGCAGTTTGTTTTCAAGAACATTGTTCAGGTTATAATTAGCATCTTGGTAACAAAAGTCAGGAGTCGGTGGCTTTCAGGGGCAGCAGGGTAAGGGAGGCTAAGCTGATAGGCTTTCGAACCGCTCATCGGCATTAACCTGAGCTACACTCCGTCTCTCAGCCGTGTCCCACAATTGCTGCTCTCTCTTACACAGAAGAATCAGTTTTCGCCCCACTGCGCACACATCAACAAAGGTCTTTTCTTCTGTAGTCAAAAGTGCTCTCTAAGTTGGCCACTTGCCACCATCGCGGCTAGACGAGCCCATCAAAAGCCGAATTGATGCGGCTGAAGCCTCATGCTGTCGGCGGAGTTTCTGCGGCTTGTTTCTGTCTGCCGCCGCGTTCTTCAGAATCAGCCAAACCCGAGTCATCACCCCAAACAGGCGTGTGGTTCTCTTCTGCGGGGTGACGGACACGCAGCCTGTTAGGAAGCATAAACCGATGGGCTGAGGGCTCATCGGAGATGGCATTCTGATAGCCTGGGGCGACCGTGGTATCTGGCACCAGTTAGCAACCAAAAGGAACTCACTGAAGCTTCTCCCCGCCTATTCACACTTGCTGATGTACAAGAGGCATTCCTTTATCTGAGATGCCAGCAGTGTGTGAAAACACCATCAGATTTCTGGGTAATACTTTTGAGGACTGGTATAGGTTTACGTGATTTCACTGAAGGCACAGTGATGCTTTATGTAGTGTTACGCTCAACCAAGCCATAGGGAGTGAGCCAAACAATTCAATTTGTTTTTATATATATCACCTTTCATGGCAAGGCGCTTGACAAGGGCGTGTGGCAATCCGTCATTACATCATTCATACAGAACAGACCCAAAAACTCAAGCTATGCCTTGGAAAAAAAAAAAGGAGAATGGGAGGGCTGAGGTTGTGGCAACATGCTGTTCATTTCATGAAGTGAAGTTTGCGGAGGACAGATGGCGAGTAGGCGGACGGTGTAGCTACAGGTGAGCGCATGATCGTACTCCTGTGCCTCCGGCACAAAGCCAGCGATCTGAAGCGGCGCTGAAACACACAGCTGGAAGGTGAAGGTGAGAGTTATGACTCAGGTACAGCTGAATGGTGAGAGTTGGCATCGTTAGGTAATGATTAGGTGAGTGATTGCTGTACGGAGAAGTAACATGCTGCAAAGTCATTACCTGAAACACTGAAAGTTGCTGGCCACACAACCATAATCATGAAATGTATCGTTTGATTTGCTGTGTAAAACTTGCACTGCTTTCAGAATTACCAGTGTCAGTCTTTTTCACCACTGACAAAGGGCACCATGGACAGACCGCAAACATATACAGTCTGGAGATGTGAATCATCTCCAGTCTCTCTCTGGATAGTCAAGAACCTTCCAAACAGGTCAAAGTGACTCACTGCAGACAGCTTCAGTAATGAAAACACATAAAAACTGTCACAAGACACAAACCTGACCAACACATGACAAATAACCGACTAACCCCACACTGGGAACTAACCAATAACAGGCACGTAACCAGCCGATGACAGACACAGAACAACCACCAGCAGACCTATGCTTTGGGACTGGATAAGGATTCTGGGTAATTTTATAAGGGTACAGTCATTTATTGAATATAGCATTATGTGTTCCACCTTAAAGCAGAAGAATTTCTAATATTTGTGCTCGGGTACTAACATTCACAGAGGTTGTTTCAGATGCATTATACGTTTAACCGTTTACACCTTTACTGAGCAGAATTGAGATTCATTTTCTATACTCTGACAAAAAAGTAAGAGCAGTCGGAGTTTAGTAAACACAGTAGGACCCTGACCCTGCAGCTAGGGGCAATGAATCAAACCTGACTGTGGCGGGGGGGGGAGGGCATACTATCTTCCCGTAAACATGTGGGCTAAGATGGAGCCGTCAGCGGCAGACAGTGGCAGGACGTGACCTTTGTCAAAGTGACACGAGCAGCACCGCACTCTCAGCTTCTATCTTCACCCGCGCCGCCCGGAAAAGCAGCGCTGTGTTTGTATAAGCAAGAGGCTGGCCCAAGATGTGCCGGGCGCCCCTGTCTCGACACGGATGTGAATCATGGCGAATTTCTGGCTCCATGCAGCCATCCAGGCTGGTTGAGTCGTCCCACCTGGCAGGCAGATCCCCGGGAAGACGCCGCCTTTCAGGCCGCGCCCGTAACAAGGGGGACCCAGGACGGAGATCTCGACTCCTGTAGACTCCGACCCTGGAATGTGGGAACGTCATCTGTGTCCGATGAGTAAGAAATGTGAAGCAGACATCTGGCGTGACAAGATTCCAGTGTTTCTTGTTTTGAAGCAAACTTTCCTAAACAGGGACGCTCCATACAATGGTAAAGACAAACAATGATATAATATTCTGCTCCCCTTCCAGACTTTCCGAGAAGGTACACAGCCTTTTGATTACAGAGGTCAATTTTTTCCAAATATAAACTAATAATCCTCCTGTGAGATCATAAAATTACCGCCACTTTAGCTTGAATTCTTTTATTATATGGGAGCAAAAATAGAGCAGGCCTTGAAGCATAGCATGTTTCTTTTCATTCATACAATTTATCATTAAACTTTTTTGTTTTGGTTTTTGATTCCAAGCAATATAAAAAGTTACTGCTGGAGACAAAAGTGGGAAAGTATTTATTTTAGGTATTCAGGGCATCATCTTGGAACAAAAATGTTACCGACGTCTGAACTTTCCATCGCATTTATACACAGAACGATATGGTAGATATTACAGCTGCTGGAAAAGACAAGACAATCAGAGTTCAATGGCGAGCAGGAGAAACTTAGGAACCTGGAGAGGGTCTGGTGCCACGGACTGATGCAAGTTTACTACATCTGTTCTTTCGCAACACACATGGGCCGTGTGGCAGAACCATTAAAGGTACACAGGCTTGTTAAACACCGACACACAGCTGGTACTGATAAACGACTGGGAGATGTGCATGTTAGCACACAGAGTCCCTGCCGGATTGACATGGCCTGTATCCTCAGACAGCTTAACAGCTCGCCGTCAGGGCTGATTAGCTTGTATTAGCTGGCGATTAGCTCAGTCCGCCGGTACCACTCACGCTAAATGGGAGATGCGGGCAGTCATCCCCAGCACTGCAGCTGCGCAATCTCTTCCCTGCTTCTCTTGACTCTGGATAATCAAAATTATGACGCGTTTTCCAAACTCCTCTAATTTTTGACCCCCATCCGACGAGGAATAAATGCCAAATATTGCATGAAGTCTTGCAAAAGAGACCACATGGTGAACAGTCTTGGGGGTACAAAATTTGTATTTAATTACTAGTTCAGCCCTTTTGAGAGTAAAAGTGCCCAGAATGGGGGGGGGGGGGGGCGCAAACATTCAGCGACTGTTACAGACACATTTGAAAAACAAAATGTGACTTAATACCCAGAAGCCGCCACATGCCCCGGCAGGGTGGGGGCGTGGCTCTGTGGGATTAGCATGGGCTGGTAGGGCTGCTCACCCCCCCCCAACCCCACCTGCCACTTCAGGTGAATGTCTATGTGAGGACAGACAAACTGACAGCCATTATTGCTAATCCTGCCCCGATCTCAGTACAGCACCCCTGCTAGCTGCCCCCGTTTCTGCTGGCACGGCCAGTTAGCCGCTACCTTTCAGCAAAGCAACAAGACACGGCACGTTTAAACAGAAGTGCTCTGTGTGTCCCAGCATGGCACCAGTAACTGCTGTGCCCAGTGACGGTGACCGTCTTCACCCCTAAGCTTGTAATCTGTAACTACTAAATCATTAAATAACCCCTGTCTCATATGCCGTAACTCTAACCCAAACTCCACAGCTCTAATTATAACCTGTTACCCTTAATTCCATAATATGTGATCTGTATAGCTAATAACTTTCAACTCCTAAGACATACCAGTTGTGTATTTTGCGTGATGATGCTTAAACTCCACCTGCCCAGCAAGGCATGGCTGTGCAGCTGTGAGACTGAACCCAAACAGCTTAATTAATAAATCTGAAATGAGATAAACACCAGATAAAGATCAGACCAGACGTGCCCATCTCCAGTCCTGGGGGGCCGCAGCCCTGTGTAGCTTAGGTCTTTCCCCGTTCCACCACAAATGATTCAGCTCAGCAGCTACGTGGTAATTAGCACAAGAAGTTGAATCAGGTGTGTTAAACAAGGGGAAACCCAAAAATGTCTCCTTAAAATAGGAAATGTAATAAATGCTGCGTCTAAGCGGATTGCAGCAGAGGAAACAGTGCAGTCGAATTACATAACCTGTGTAACTCAGGTGAAAATGTTTCTGTTTCCCGATGTGCGATAAATACAGATGGACCTTAAGAGGATCCAGGACAGCTTGTAGCAAACAGCTGACTGTCAGTGTGTGGCCTCAAGTGTACAGGCTGGATTTCAATCACCGCTCCTGGCTGCTTCTATCTGCTCAATCAGCAGCTTGTGTTACGCTACACTTCACACCTCGTTTACTTCAAGACCTAGGAGCAGCGCACTCATACGCGGCCGGATTACACAAACACAGCTCTCAGTACACCTCATTATCACCGAGAAGTACAGCAACTGCGTACTGCAAAGACAACAAGAACCTGGAAGATTAAGTGAGGCCACACCACTTTAAATCGAGCAGAAAGGAGGAATACCGACAAAGAAGGAAAGGGGATTTCTCAAGAGCCATTGGAGCTTTGATCAGCGCTACTTGGGCTGCGTTTGGTTGTAGCAACCTTGCATTGTAGGCAATTCACAATGGTCTCAAGTCAGAATGAAGCCAATGCGTAGCTGCACACAGAAATCCCCTTTGAAAAACTGCAGACTTACATCTCTGAATGGCCCGTACAATAAGTATTCTCTCTGCCTCATCTATGCTCATCAATCTCCCTCCGGCTAAGAGGCAAAACATCCCAGTGAAACAGAGAGCGCACAGTACCGCGGGCTGGGCAGAGAGGAGCCGACGGGGTCTTCCTCAGCCGTCTCTATATGAGGGACAATGGCTCTTTTTCGGCCGCTAATTAGGCTCCTCGGTGGGGGTCCAGCCACTCACACCCGAACTCCCCTCACAATGGGACCCCATTCCCATCTGCACCAGCTTTCAGTCACAACGTGCACAGTGGCTTGATTCTTCCACCCTCACTCTGGCCTGTTGGGCCGCCTCTCCTGATTGAGCCTTTGCCAGGTTGGGGTGCGGAACATGATGCCACAGAGCAAACGACAAAGCAAAGTGCTTCAGGGCTCAGGATGAATCCAGGTTAATGGCCCATGCTAAGTACAGCCATTTTGAAGGAAGAGTTCTTGATAATCATTCCTTGATTTGTACATGAATGCAATATTTATTCTCTAGTCAGTCCCTTTCAAAGGCTGTACAAACAAACTGTGAAAGTCAAACTCAGGCAGAGTATGTGTTCATTCTAACTAATTGACCAGATGGTGTTCATATGGTCTTCTTAAGGAATTTTATGGGGTTACCAGCTGAGCTGTAACTGCTAGACACATAGCTGTCTGTCCTGATAAATACAATCATCTTGGTAGCTTCTTTCAGTCACGACCAAGTTCTGGGGTGTACTCACTCACGTGTACTCAGACAGCACACTTAGCGGTCCGTTTGCAAAGGGTCTACTGACATCGGAGAGTGGAAGCCAGCCAGCTGTAGAGTAAACATTTTGTAGTGTCAGGAATGTGGCACGTAGGGGAAGTTGCAGAATAAAACTCTCTGAGAAACCTTCATTAGGAGTCCATGCAGGAGACTCAAAAACGAAACCGTCAACAAGGACAATCCCTAAGGAGAACAAGCCTTGCCGAATGAAACATCCAAATAAGTGTGAAACTGCACTGGAAATGACAGAGTAGTGGGCTTGTTGTAGGAAGCTCCGGAAGTCACTCTCATTGGCTCTAGCCAGCAAATGGCCTTCTTCATGTTCTGGCAAAGTACTTTAAGCCAACACTCCGGATTCGTCCAGAGACGTTGGCAGCTTGCAGCATCCTGCTCTGGAGAAGTACTTCACGTCAAGCTCCTCCCACCTACCTTCAAACACAAACTGGGAAGAAAAAAACTAAAATACCAGTACAAAATGTAACACAGATAAATGTGATAATGTGATGTGAGCAAAGCCAGATTGGGAACACATTGCGGATAGGAAGCGAACTATAATATGACCTCTGAAATAGACAGTATACACCCTGCAGCAGGGAAGGGGCGAGTAACAGTCCAGGATGGAGTGTGGATGCCCTGGGGGCGGCCACATCAAGCCACAGTCAAACCCTTCACCTTTGCCTTTATGCTGATTTTGCAGAGTTCGACGTGTCCATGGGTCAACAGAGGAGGGGCTTGAATTTCACTTCTTTTACCAATCACAGTCTTCATTGTATGACATCACGACATTAATTAAAACCAGTGTTTTCTGTTTAGTGGCAAGGTGTGCAGATTTCTAAAGTAACTGTTTCATTGTGCATGCTGTTTCTTAATGGACATGGTGTAGATACTACGTTTTGTAACATGCTTATCTGCAAAGTCTGTAGGGAACCAATGTAGGGAAACAGACAAAAGGCAAACAGGATGCTGGGATACATCTTCAGGTGTGTTGAGTTTAAATCAAGGGAGTAAAGCTAGGATTATATAATTCCCTCGTAAGACCTCACCTCGAATACTGTGTCCAGGACCTGGCTGCTTTAGAAGCGGTCCAACGCCGGGCTACAAGAATGATTCCTAGCCTTAGGGGGATGTCTTACGAGCAGAGAAGCTGGCAGAGATAAAGTTGTTTGGCCTCGAGCAAAGGAGACTAAGGGGAGACATGATACAGGTATATAAGATTCTAACAGGTTTAGATGCTGGTCATCCAAATTGTTTCTTCAAACTAAGTTCTAATTCAAGAAACCATGGAAATTAGTGGGGGAACATTTTAGTTTGGATCTGAAAAAGAACAACTTGTCACAGCATGTAATTAGAGTATGGAATAGTCTGCCTGTGAGGGGGAGTGCAAGCTAAAACCCTACATTCCTTCAAATCTGAACTTGGCAATATCCTGCCAACTTTAAATTATTAGTTCAATTCCCTCCAAGTGAGCTCGATGTCCCAAATGGTCTCCTTTTGTCTGTAACATTCTTATGTTATATAATGAAGACAGTAATTGGTTAAAGAAGAGAAATGCAAGCCCCTCCCTTTTTGACCCAGGGACACATCAAACTCTGCAAAGTCAGGGTGTCCCAGTATGGATCCTAAGAGAAAGTTCTGGTCTCCCTAAGCTCAGAAAAAGGCCCAGGTGCGAATGTCCAACTCCACACTCTGTCATGCCAGACATCACATTGACATCACACTAATGCCATATACTGTACAATTCTTATACTACAACTTTGTAAGACACTATTTCTTATTTATCCAGAGATGTCAAATGGATGCTGATTATTTTTGCAGAACACGGGCAGCCTAATAACAGCTCTATATTAATGCATTCTAATATTTTATTTAAAATGTTAATATAAACATGTTAAAATGTGTGACTTTTATTATAAGCAGTCATTCTTAGCGGCATAATTTTCCTTTGCTTTTGAAACACCACGGTTTCTATGGTAACGGGCTTCTTGCTTCCAGCGAGGCGTGACCAGACAATCTATCCTTATAGAGGCTGTATTTTAACAAGAACATTATTAAATGCTAACTGAAATAGTTTTCTTTTGAAAAATTGTTTTTTTTTTATTATTCATTAGCCACAATATAAGCGAGATAAACCACTTCAAATCCACAAATCCAGACCAAGATTTTGTTTCCAAACAGTTGATTACTCTGTGAAGGTGACTCTTTAAACTCAGCTGGTTGGTTGAAACTAAATCCTGGTCTGGATTTTAACTTTCCGAACCTGAACTTTACACCTCTGTCGAGGTGTACGGCATTACTGTCATTATTTTCGTATAACCGCAGCCTTTACATAACACCTATACATATGTTCACACATATACCTGGCAGTCTGAAGCAACATAATGCATGTTGCATAATGCATGTGGTTAGCTGTGATGATGCCAGGCTAGATGAAGCTCACAGAGGCTAATAACGAGAGGAAGCTTGGGGCTACGTCATACCACTCCTGCAAACAGAATCACACTTAACACCAGAACAAATCAGTGTCACACAAAAAATCATCCCAAAGGCCGTTCCTGAGTCTGTCGTGAAGTCAAAGAGAACTGCTTGCTACATAGACACTTGTGACCGCACTGGTGAGCTGTCCAATCAGACAGACTTAAAGGACTCCTTGATACCCCGATTATGCGATGATGATGGCACCTGTGTGACAACCATCCCTGGTTATTTTGTCTTGCAGAGTTTCAATGCTCCTACTCAGTCTAAGATGAGGTTATGGGCGTGTGCTGCCATCGCCTTCATGTTCTGCGGGACGGCGCTCTTCGACATCTTCACTAGAACTACAATTCCCACGGGCCCCAAGCACCTCCACTCCCGGGCTGTCCACTCTCCACAGAGGCAACCATCACCATCCATATTTCGAGCAGCTGGCCATCAGAGAAGCCGCAGGGCGACGGACGACCTGGAGTCTATCCTGGTGGAATGTAAGACCCCCAGCTGCACCCGGTTCCTAGTACACAGCAGACTCCTCCTACACCAGGCCAGCTTGGGGTTTCAGATCTAGAAGCCACACAGCAGGAAGATGAGCTGTTCGGCTTCTTGGAAACGATACCACAGCAGATTAGGGCGCAACGGGAGGCATTCTGCCTTGAAATACTGGCTCATGGAGGTTTTACTTACACACGAAAAATGTTCTGAGGGCAGAACAAAAAAATGATTGGTTGAAAGAGATAACCAGTCATATTGTAGAGGAGATGGGTCCAAGCAACTAGAGGAGGTGTGACCAACCAATCAGATATCTTGGACCCACCTCCTCTATAATCTGTTTGATTATGTCTCTGAACCAAATATTTTTTGTTCTGCCCTCAGAACAGTTTTGTGCAAGTAAAACTCCCATGAGTGAAATACTGTCATTATCCACAAACTGCAGTGCTGATGTGCATATAGAGCCCTCAGGTGAATGCCAAACTGATCTGTTAGTGCCACAGCACAGGCAGAGCCTAGCATGCACTTATTTTGCTGCTTATAATTAGCTGAACATTCAGCTGGTCTTCCCGAATCTTCAGCGAATGGCAGTGGGTTGGCTAAGCTTAGAATGCGGGCAAAAACCAATATTAAAAAAGGGAATCTGTTTCCTATATGCTAAGTTTCGTATATAGCATGTAGATCATGGATGTGAGGTCCCACTGAGTCACAGGGCAACCAGTGTGTGGAGATTCCAAGGGAGGAGAAGACTTAGTCACCGCAGTGAGATACAGTGTGGATGATTCACAGGAAAATGATGGTGCTGCCTGTTTTTGAGAATGGAAATGTACATGTAAGCGGAATGTATGTTTAATGAAAGCTTTACTAGAGGAATACGGCATATGGTGCCGCAAGGGTAGGATAACGAGTAGCTAACGAGTAGCTTTACTCTGGCAGCATGGGGGTTGTCAATTTAACGCCCGTTTTGCATTGCAGTCTCATCGATGTTCCAGAGCTTCACCCAGGGAGAGCTCCAGCAGGTCATTGGAACCCTGGCGGACAGGAGGGCGGTACAGGTCGGCCCACAGGGCCGCAGGACCAAGCGGGCCAGGAAGGGCCTGAAGCCATGCTCCCTGCGAGAGGCGGTGGTGAGCGTCAGCGAGCTGGGCCTCGGCTACAACAGCGACGAGACGCTGCTGTTCCGCTACTGCAGCGGGCGCTGCTTCACGCACCGCCGCAACTACGACGTGTCGCTGGAGCACATGAAGAGGACGGGCGCACTGGGCCTGGGCCGGCAGGACAGGGCGCGGCACAGCCCCTGCTGCCGGCCGACGACCTACGAAGACGACGTCTCCTTCCTGGACAACAACAACAAGTACTACACCATCCACCAGGTGTCGGCCCGGGAGTGCGGCTGCGTGTGATCTCAGGGATCACTTGGAGCAACAAGGCGGCCCGAGACACCTACAGCGGTCACCTGACCTACCTTTGGATGACCAGGCTGGTCAAAAGTAACCTCAGAGGCTGTGGGGAAGCGGAACAGGAACCTACATATTCTGCCCATTTGAAAGACCTCATTACTTTCATTGCTCTTTAAACTATTCATTGTCAAAGAGACAAAAAGAATGTGGAATATAGTCAATTCCCCTGATTGGATATTTTTCCTATGATCTTGATGACATATTACCTGTAATTAAGAACATGTAATTCAATTTGAAGCTACCTACCACTAACTCAAACTGGGAGGTTGCATGCAAAAAAAGAAAAGATATCCAAACTGGTTTGATGGAACGGCTTTCAGAGGTCTTTGAATAACCTTCTACAAATTGCCCGCCGCACGCTGAAAATCTACCTCGTTTTCCACGAAAATAAGCACCCAAACCAAAACTGAGACTCTCCGTGTTCACCTTCAGCTGCTCGCTAAAGTTTTCAGAAGTCCTCGGAGCAGGAGCCCCCTTCAATATTTGGCTGAGTCGCTCCTTCTTTCATGTGGCAGAATCATTTTAAAATGTTGGCTTCAATTTCCCCTCACAGAATCACCCAGCAAAGACACGCCAACTTGGGTCTTTGAGAGCACAAATCTTTTGTAAATACGGCTTCAAACAGAGCGGTGAGGTCGAATGATGTATATTTAAAATTATAAGCATCCACTCAAATTTGTTTAAAGCATGTCCAAACTGCACCTTCTACGGCTATAATTCAATATTTCTGTCATAAAAAATACCAACAGATTTCAGTTTCACTTTATAAGATACAAAACATATCCCCCTTCCCTCCCAAAAATGAAAAACATATCTACTTTCATATTTTCTACTCCTGACTAATGAGTAGAATAAAATCATTGCATAAAACGAACTAATAAAGGACATATTATACAATACATTATGTATATTTTATAGAACGCTCTACTCTCGTCACAAGCTAATGATTTGCGCTTTATAAAACCTGCTTTCAATGGCCAGTATTTTTAGGGTAAAGTTTAAGGATAAACATGGTTATGTGGTGTCCTGATTCTCCATACATCCATTTTCCGCCACTTATCAGGGGTCGGGTCGCGGGGGCAGCAGTCTATGCTGGGATGCCCAGACCTCCCTCTCACCAGCCACCTCCTCCAGCTCCGCCAGGGGGAATACCAAGGCGGTGCAGGCCAGCCGAGAGATATAATCTCCCCAGCATGTCTTGGGTCTGTCCCGGGGCCTCCTCCTGATTGGACATGCCCCAAACACCTCCCCAGCTCTACGTTGAGCCCCTCCTGGATGTCCAAACCCCTCACCCACCATATCTTCACCTTCCAGCTCAGCGCCCTTTTCACCACGACAGGACGGTACAGCGTCCGCATTACTGCCAACGCTGCGCCGATCCGTCTGTCGATCTCACGCTCCCTAATTCGCTCACTTGTGAAAAAGACCCTGAGATACTAGAACTCCTCTGCTGGGAGCAGCAACTCGTCCCCCATCAGGGGACATCTGTGTCCCGATTCTGTTTTATATTATTTCATAATTATGCGAAGCATTATTGTCATATGTATGCATTATTGCTCAATAGACAAACTTAAAATCCCAAGTTATATATGTGTGAACTTGCTGTGATTCCGTCAATATGATCATTATTTCACGATGTGTGGAGAAATCACATACTGAATTATTCTCACACAGCAAAACAGAGCAGATAACATGGATTAGCAGTAAAAACAATACGGCTCAATGCAAAAAGGAAAACTTTACAAGGAAATACTAACGAGCACATTATGTAATTGTTCTTAGGGAAGCTACACAGTGCTAAGCCCTTCTGGAGTAACTTTAGGTCATTACCTACCAAGAAGCTTACAGTATTGCCTGTCCAACACTTAGAAACTAGGGCCCAATAAATGAGCTTTGGTTGAGAACAAACATACAGGCAATCTTACACAATACAAGAAACAATTCAAATGATAAGAAACTTCAAGAAAAAACAGTCACATAGGCAAATGTTGAAATCCAGCTTAACTGTCAGAGCGTGTTTAATTTTGAATAAGGGAGCACTAAATACTGCCATGTAGATCAGAGATAGGGGTGTCTGAGTTTCCTCTGTCCAGACACTGAGCGCCACGTTACGTCCCCAGCTTCCACACCTCACCTTCCCAAACGCTTCATCTCCTTTTCATCTCGACTGCTAACGGGCAATGCTGCTCCACCCCATATCGTTAATGGTTTTAACCTGGACTGTGTCCCAAACGATTCCAGGTGAAACGATTGATCGAGGTATTAGAGCGTCAGAACTAGACACCCTCAGGACTAGACACAGCAGAACCACGTGGCGCCACAAGGGCCAAAATCCCTCCTAGGGAGCCTTCATTAGCATGGGCGCCATGTGGACTCGACACCCGGTGTAATAAAACCATAACAGGGACAGCTCTCTGCTCATATGTGCTTATGGCGGTTCTTACAAGCCGCCCAGGCAAAAGCAGCATGCTTTGTCTACAATATAGGGGAATCATTAGCCTGAAGCTTTCTCCTGGCCCACATTCAAATTACTTCCAAATGAGGACCTGAAACAGACATGGTGCAAAGTAATTTGTGGTCGAACTCAGCATTAAGCTGATATTTGTGTCATCCAATCAAATGCTGATGCTCAGTCCCGCTCCATCCCTGTGTATTCCTCTAGCAGGATCACAGTGCATCACCTCACTAGTAAATCACTTGCGGCTTTGCGCTTAACTCCGCTTGTACCTTTCCCACATGAGTACTGTCACAGAGGCTGAAGGCATGTTCAGAATCCGTCGACGCCTGCCCTCGGACCTCCTCCACCACGCGGAGTGAATTCACCTCCACCTTTGTTGGGTCTCCTCTGCCCAACTGCAGAAAGGTTGATGCAATGCATCTTTACTGTCGATTATCTATTTATTGGAAAGTTAAGGTTTATTTATTCAGGCAGCACCGCTAAAAGACGGCAACTTCTTTATTTATTGAACATTGGGTGCCAAAGTGGAGTTTACATGTACTGTTTTTGTGTATCCTGTACGGACTGAGAAATAAAAGCCTTTCCAGCTACAAAATGCTCATACTTTCAGGTCCCTCTGATGGCACAAAGCTGCACTCCTTGGGTTGGGGCGTCAGGGGACGGACGGCACAGATTTCACTCGAGCGACAGAATTTAACACTAATGTTTCAAGACAAATTCCACATTAAAACTTTCCAGACTGGCAGTCAGTTTTTAATGAGCAATAAATGTTACAGATTATATGGTATATAAACCGATACTTAATCTCTAACATTCCATTATTAAAGCAAAGTTACTGGCCGGCTTAGATGGACCCAGCGATTTGATTATGAAGCAGCATATTAATAATTGGGAGCAGCTCAGAAATTGCAGAGCAGTCTGCACAGTATGTGCACAGAGAGGCTTAATTTTATTTTAAAAAGAAAAAAAAAACCTGGCATGAGATTGATTTCAGCCAGAGCCATCCACCCTAATAGGAATGCAAAGCAGAGGGGGGCGGAGCCCATTGGGTGAGCAGCCAATAGCAGCCGACTGATGATGAATTAAACAGGCAGATGAAGACTGACCACACAATGTGACAAACAGAGCAAGTGACCAGATCTGTGAGGACCCGTGAAGATACCAAATGTTACAGGAACGGAGACACATTGGATAAATGCACCTTTTTCTGAATTAAAACCATATGCGGTTGTATTTACAGCACACCTGAAATATTTAATGCTAATTAGGAGCTGATGTCAATATATTCCAGAAGAACATAAGTTACCTGTGTGTGTGTGTGAGGGGGCTGTTCTTTATTTAAAGGCATATACAGAGGAAAGTTAATTCTACTATTTAAATGTACTACATCTGTGCACATTTCCTAAGGGAGAGGTGATTTAAAGGTTTCATTAACGTATTAGAGAGAGTGGGAACAAATCAAGCTAACATCCAAAAACGCAAGGAAAATTCAAAGAATCAAAATGCATATTTCACAGTATTTCAGCATATGCACATGACTAAATTACATCTGGTATCGCTTACAGTCAAAGCGGCATTTAAAAATGATTACAGGAACATTGACAGCGTATTTACACTTCGGGCCTTCTCGTATGTGCAGCATCTGAACCGCACGTCTCACTCGTGTTAAAATGGAACACTTTCACGACTACGCTCGCACCCGGTCCAAGAGAAGGAATGGCGTTCCGAGGGTTACCAATACCTTCACTGTTAGCGATCCAGCGGGATAAATTAACAAAACAATCTGAAATACTGAGGGACCGCCAACACGCTGCTCTTGCAGTCCCGGATCCAGGGTGCCTGAGGTTTGTCTGGGGGGGGGGGGGGCATATGAGAAGCAGAAAACCATGAGAGAATACAGAGAGCATGGCATACAGTACGTCAAAGGACATGACCATCAAGGTGCCAGCAAGCCGACTTCCCAGTCCAACGGCATGGAGACCGACAACTGACTGCTACAAAAATGAGCGACAGCGGAGGCTACGGCTGTACATGCAGATGGTTCCTCAGTGCCAGGTTACAGTAAATACAGAGGCTTTCTGTTCATTAGTACGTATGCTAACTACTCGACAGCCAGAAACCACAGGCTAACCAGACTAATACTTTGAACAAACCGACGTCTGCCCTTCCAAAACCAAAATGTACCGTTTGAATATCATCTTATGTTCTGTAATCAGCCACCCAAAAATTAGTCATTCTTCTGTGTCTATCATCTGACCACTGAAAGTCTACTGCGCTGCATGGGATTTGGAAAGATTATGTAAAACCCGACACTGCCACTGTGGTGAACTGCTGCGATTAACATGGTGTGGAAATCTCCAAGTCCGCAGAGTTCAGGCAATTTCAATACTACGGCCTTTAGCATGAGGATACTGTGTCTTCCATGCAATTCCTTCAAAAACAAACAAAGCAGCCGTGAGGCGGAATCCATGAGAAAGCAGCAGAAACCAGCGATACCGCACCGGGCAGCACTATGCTCAGCTAACACAACCAGCCAACAATAACTGCTATTCCAGTGGCTAAGGAAACACCAGCTCCCAAATCAATGGGCTACTGAAAAACAAACACCATGACTCATTCTGTCAGTTGAACTTCTTCTCGAAATGCATCTAACTCCAAAGAGGTACTTCAGAGGTTTAAGGGAAATTGATGTGACAAGCTTATTTAAAGACGTGCTTAGAACCCGTCACCCAAGAAACTCTCCTCTAGCTGAGGGGCCTCCCTGAATTCATCATCGCATCCTTTAAGTCATGACTGTACAGTCAGCGCATCAGCAAGCAGATGTCCAGGATCCTACGTGCAAAAAGGGGCCATCAGTGCTGGCCTCTCACTGGGCCACCGCAAACCCACGGACCATCACGTCCCTTTGCTGAGGTTCTCGATATATCTGAGACAAGAACAATAAGCAGAGCAAAGATGTCCAAACTGCATAATCACTGTCTAAGTGATGACAGGGATAAACGCTCCATAACGGAGATTAATATGTGCTTGTTTAAAGTAAACCTCCCTTAACACAATCACACCTTGGGCCAGATCATCATCATCCTGATCCTCGTCTGACTAACGAGCCCAACGAGCATTTCTCTCAACATCCACCTGCAGAGCAGTTTCATGCTATCTGGGCTGCGCCTTCAACACCACACACCATCAATCTCTGTCCCCCTCGCCTGTTTATTTTCACCGTTCACCCGATCCGCCGATGAGGCACGAATATCATCCAGCGTGGCCGTAATTAAGAGGGTCGCTAGGAATTTGTCATGGAATGAGAGCCACCTGGAGCAGGAGGTCGCTAACATGGAAGCTGTCCATCCAGTGGGGAAACATTCATATTTCCTGGGGCTTCTTGGGCCTAAACACAGAGCTACACAACTTTGAATAACAAGACCAGGAGGCCCAAAGTCTGACACCTTTGTTGCTCTCTCATCTGCACCGACTTCCAGCCTGAAGCTAAACAGCTCATCTGGTTTCTAATAAGCCTCTGGACAGCTGGACCAGTTTACCAGTAAGTGCTACAGTACAGTTACAAAAGCTTTTAATGAAACCAACAGATCTACTAGTGACTAATAAAGACCAGGTCATATGACCAAAAAAAAAGCATGTAGAATCATGTGCAACTTGTGCTGGAATTATCCTGGAAACTTCGACTTAAAATTTACACTTGGCGCTGCCCCATCACCATGGTTCAGGGCGATAAACACAAAGCAGGTTTTGTACGGTTCCCTGTTTCACTCAGAGTGGCCTGCTTTCTTTTAAAGAATGCAGGCAGCTTACGGGATCCGATGACAGGTTAACCATTCGGGCTTTCGCTAAACGGAGGATGGAAAACGCGGTAAAGGTTCCTGCAGGGCAGAAACTCACTCGAATCGGCCACAAAGATAAATGTTGTTGTTCGTCACTGCGCTGCTCCGCAAAGCCCCTTCCTTGGCTCGGGTTGACGTGTCCCTCAGCACAGCATAAACACCAGCCGGACAGGGCTGGATAGTATGCACTCTGGCAAAGCTACGGGATAAACTTGGACGTGTACTGCTGCAGAGCATGGAGCTCATTAACGTTGATCGAGGAACACGGACCCTGACATCAGAACTCTGAATAACAAGATCACGATTAAACGTGTTACGCATCCATTTGAGAGCTCCAATCAAACTATAATTTTAAAGGCTTACTGCATTTTTTCTTTTTAATTTTTACGTACTCGGAATAAGTAACACATCAAGGTATATAACAGCTTTTTGACACATTTTCTTTGCTTATGACAACCCAACCCCTAATGCCTGAAAGGTTACATGTGCTGCAACAGACATGTACACATCATAAGAGCACCTGAATTTGCATGAAGAACAACCCGTCCCCATAATCTCACACCTGGAGTTACACTCACTCAGCTGGGCGTACTGCAAGAGTGAAACACAGACTATTTACAAGCACATAAAGACCTCACATTCCCAGGGATCTTAAAAACAAGGAGTGGAACTGAAAATACACAGACCATTTTGAGTGGTGATGTGAAAAATATCGATTAACCACCAGGCATCTGTGTAAAGCAAAAAAAAAAAAGAACCATCAATGGACGTTTTCAAGAAACATGGACCATCATCTAATGTGAGCGTGACTGGACCACCAAAGCGGTATTCATGGTGGAATTTTCACAAGTCTACCTATGTTCCCAAAATATAAATCGAAAGTTCAAATGGAAGACACTCTAGATAACACGTCTATCCATCGTACGACCAACACTCTTCACACGCTAAGGACAATTTAGACTCACCCATCACTCTTTGCATTGTGGGGAATACCGGAGTAGCCAAAGAAAACCCACATAAAGAGTAGAGGTGCAAACTCCAAACATAGGTACACCAAGTCCATGCATGCCCACCAGATGGCAGCAAAAGACTCACCAACTGCAATGAACTTTATTGGGCACAGTCTGCATGAGTGCTCAAACCCCCTCGCTGATTACATGAATATAACGGCCCATCTGTCATGGCCGCAGGACCCAAACAGCAACACTAGGCTGCAGCCCCAGGTGTCACCAATCACGACCATTTATTTTACCTATCAGCTAAGAGCCACTCGTGTAATCAATCCAGGTCACACCGATTAGATGATTTGATTTTCCACACTGTTCAGGTAAGTGGACAGACTGCTCTTTAATCATCTGGAAAGCAAACTGGACCTTCATGCAGGTTACTTCATCCCAGTGAGGTCAGATGTATCAGGTTTTAGCAGATTCACATAAAACAGCTATCAGCTGCATTCCATATAACCTTTATTTTCAACATCCTTGCAACTGAAAAGTGCTTGTGGGTAAAAGATCATTACACATTTTCTGTGATCTTCACTAACTAACTGCCCCCACATCCATCACTAGTAATGGGATCAATTAGCTGAACTGTCAGCCTATTTTTAACTTCCTCAAACCCAGATGCCTGGAAGTGTGAACCACACTCTGCAACCCAGACATAAGATGACAAAAATATTAACAGTAGCAAAAAACAAACTGGTTACCCACCGTCCTGAGTCTGACGTACCAAGGGGCACCTCCGTTTCCGTCACCGGCCCTCCCGAGTCTCTGACGTACCAAGGGGCACCTCCGTTTCCGTCACCGGCCCTCCCGCATCTGACGTATGGAGCATTTCCATTTCTATTATTGTCCTCATCTTAATATTCAGTCCAAAAGAACATTTATAGCCGTATGTTATAATGAAGGTTTTCTAACCTTTTAATTGAAAGAAAACTAATGGGTGTGATGACTTAACTGGTTTTAAATTCAGTTTCATAATGATTACTTGAGCCTTCAAATTTCATTGATGAAGGTCTTTTTTAGCTGCTCATCAGTTCCATCCAGTCCCTGTTATACACTATTTGCACAAAAGTACTGGGACACCTGGCCATTACACCTACAGCAACTTCCATGACATCACATGGGCATCAATATGGAGCTGGTCCCCCCTTTGCAGCTATAACAGCTGCCACTCTTCTGGGAAGGATTTCCACAAGGGGTGTCTGTGGGAATTTTTATCCATTCGTTCAGAAGAGCATTTGTGAGGTCAGGCACTGATCTTGGCCTGACTCACAACCTCTATTCTAGTTCATCCCAAAGGTGTCCGATGGGGTTGAGGTCAGGGCTCTGGGGGGCCAGGCAAGCTCTTCCATGCTAGACTCACCCAACCATGTCTTTAAAGATCTTGCTTTGTGCACTGGGGCACAGTCATGCTGGAACAGAAAAGGGCCGCCTTCCCCAAACTGTTCCCACATCGTTGGAAGCAAAGAATTGCCCAAAATGTCTTGGTATGCTAAAGCACTAAGAGTTCCCTTCACTGGAACTATGGGGTCTGGCCAAACCCCTGAAAAACAACCCCAAACCACTATCCCTCCTCCACCAAACTCTGTTAATTACTGCTGCACTATGCAGCAGATGTGGAAATTTCATGTCCAGAAAGTAAAAAACCAGTGTAAAAATCTCACTCTGTTACTTTAAGTGGACTTTCACTTCGTGGCTGAGCTGCTGTTGGTCCTAAATGCTTCCAGTTTGCAATAATATCATTTACAGTTAACTGTGGAATATCTAGCAGGGAAGAAATTTTATGAACTGACATTACATTCTATGACAGTACCAGGATTGAGTTGATCTCTTCAGAATGGCCCATTCTTTCACAAATGTTTGTAAACCTAACTGCATGGCTAGGTGCTTGATTTTGTATTCGTGTGGTAATGGGTCTGAATGAAAGGCCTGAATTCAGTAATTAAGAGATGTATCCCAAGACTCTGGTCTATATAGTATATGTTACCTTAATTCATTGTGCGACTGGTCTAAATGCCACTTATTTTGCTCTAATTTAAGCATAACACAAATGTCCCCCGTCAGTTTTGCTGTGAAGCTCACGCTGATACATTTTTGCCTTTTCTTTTTGTTTTGCATTACAGAGTATATAAAACATGATAGTATTCATATCATCACATTTTCGGGAATGCATACGAGGGGAACTTAATATACGCTCTTATCCAAAAGCATTACAGGTAAATCATGGCGTGTGACCTGCCACAGGGAAGAGACCTTACAGGGGAGGATTAGATCGGGCTGTCGAGTCATCGGCGCCGAGCTAATTTATGTATCACCTTTCCAAGGTTTCTGTGGTTAACGTTAAAGTTTTAAACTCAATCCGTCAGTTCCGCCCAGTAAAGCGGCTTAATATGAATGCCAGTTTGACTTTATATAAACAGTAAGTCTTAAACTTAATGCAGCCGATGGGTTTAATTCACAGATTAGTGTTACCTGACCTGCTTATCCGCATTAATACCGGTGAGTTTTCACCCACAAAAGCAGCTGGACAATCACATGACAAAGCAGCTAATGGTTAATTATAACATTTTAAGAGAAAACTGGCATCGATTGCACCCAGAATCGGAGAAGTGCTTCCGCAGCATATTTCAACAAGGAAAAACATGACGTCACGTTATCTCACAATGACTCCGAGAGAACTGATCACTGTCTCAAAAAGGCCATCCTAGCTAGCGATCGATAGCTACGGATGATACAAAAGAACTTAGTAAAATATATTGATCTATTTTTGCACCTTGAGGTCAAAACGTCTCATCGCTCTTACACAGGACCTGTGTGATTTTAGCTGCGTTAATTTTCAGGATGCAGCGGAGAAAAGCGCCGATCCAAAGCAGACAGGAGGGAAACGGGCAGCTTCCAAGATAAAACTTAGCTCTACAGACTCCTAAAATGCAAAAGGTAGAGCGGAGACAAAAACGGGATTCGAGGGTGAATAATAACAGGTTCAACTTCAGGGAGCGAGTCGGCCACAGTGCCACTTAACCAGAGCTTTGGTAAAATACACAGCTTATAAAGTAAATAAATGGAGCAAGAACATCTGCTTAAAATCTAAAGACAGCGCTGAATTGTGGTAAATGCAGGATTCATTCTAACGTCATCCTGAAAACACAGGAATGAAGACCTTTGGAGAGAGTGGGACTGTTTTGCTACATGGAACATCTCCACCAGACAGGGATAGATCACTGCCACGCATGAGTCCACCCTGATCCACAGGGGTGCCACCTGAACCTTGAGTCAGTTATCAGACAAAATCAAAGGGGGGGGCGAGAGTGTCAAGTAAGCACAGATAAACAGCTCTCTCCTCACTACAGTTAGGTGGACTGTAAATATGCTATTAAACCATCTACATAGCCTCCTAGTTCAGATGTATCAGAGCATCATGCAAGGCTATCAGGTTTACTGGGTCACTGGCCCTCAGTTACAGATAAGGATGGCAGCAAGGCTGGGACTTCAGCCTAGACCAGGATCCCCCAATTCCAGTCCTGGAGAGCCAGAGTCCGACACAGTTTGCAGATATCCCTAAAACCTCTTAATCAGCTAATTATCATGTTTAGTAGGTATGTCTGAGGAGGGATATCTGAAAGCCTGTTGCAGCCTGACCCTCCAGGAGCGGAACTGGGGAATCCTGGTCTAGACCAATGTGAAATCCCTTTAAACACACACAAAATCACTGACACTCCCAAAGCTACACAATTCCTATACCTGGGGTGGGGCTGCCCCCAGCATAACCCCAAAAGTCAGAAACACCCAGTTAAACATACCAAACATTTTTATTGGCATTATCTCCCCCCCCTTACAGGTGACAAAGAAGTGAAGGAATGACAATGACAGAGCAGAACCGGGCAAAGGACCAAACGGGTCCCCCACTGGCCCCCACCACCCCATACCATCCAGGAAGCCTGCTGTGTTACTTGGTGTTTTTTATAAAATGGTCCTGAATACACCATCATGCGACACAGTTATGGAACTGGAAGAGACACTCTTACAGGCTGGAGTGAGAGTGGCAGTCCCCCCTTGGTAAAAGGCAATCCAAACCGGCAGCACTTACTAGGTAAGGAACACAGTTTATTTTACATTAATGCAGAGAACACTTACCCCACAGTTAAAGGTTCAGAACAGAATTAAGCAGTGATGTTATGCCTTTTTGATCCATTTTCCTATACATTCGAGTTTTGAAAAATCTGGTCACCACCGCTTATTGGTCAGAATGGGCTCACTTTCCTGCTTGCATAGCACCACCTGGTGTTCAAAGCACGCAACTATAATTCCAGACTAATACGTGGAGTCAAAATAATGACAGGTTCAAAGGTAGCAGTTTTGGACTGATGGGGGGGAAAAAAAATCCTTATAGAAATACCCTATTTGGAATAAAATAAAATAAAAAAACACACACACACACACACACACACTCACACACACACACACACACACACACACACACACGAGAACAGCTTTCAGCCTTGTGTTTTGGGGGGGCGGGTGAAGATGACATCATCAGTCACTGTTCGATAGTCCGATCCGTCGGAGAAGCTCCTCCAAAGCTGGGCTAAGGCCTGTGGTCCTGCGGAGCCTCCTTCACGTAAACGCCGGCACGCTTAAACGTCAGCATGGCTACTTCTCCAAACAGCCACACGCCAGAATGAAGGAAAGGGGGGTTTGAAGGGTACCGTTAATGACCAGACCGCGGAGGTGAAGGAGACCTGGGCACACGCACGAAGGATCCCATCTCACAGCCCCGTTTGCAGATAAGGTGATTCTGTCCACGTGAAGACGCACGCGGCCTTCCGGAGAATCACGTCACATTGATGACATCTCTAAATGACGCCATGGGGGGGGGGAATCATAGTACACAATGTTTTTTTAAATGTGCTCATTAATAAAACAAAGACAGAAACTAGCAGATATAAAGTCGATATAAAAAATAAGTTTAGACAGTAAAGACCCCAGAAAGGTATTGAAATAGAGCTCAGAAAAAAAAAAAAAAAGACTAAATAAAAAGCAGCGACTATGCGGAGAGGCGGCCCACTGACAAATCTCACAGAAAGAGGACAAGCTCACAGCAGGCTCACCCTTAGCACTCAGAGCCAACCAGAATGGAACGTGTGAATTGGACCAGGTCTCTTCAAAAATCCAGTTTTATCATATTATATATATATTTGTAGCCCAGTGAGAGGTCAAACGTGTTCTGTGGAATAAGAGACGTGTGTTGGGACAGCTGAATGATGGACCCATGTGTCCTAGATGATACTCGCCTCTGGGAAGCCCAGGTCCCAGAAGACAGCACAGCGGTCCCACACTTAAAACTGCAGAGTCTTTACGGTGTGCCTTTGCCTTTAAACAGGACAGGAAGTGACCTCCCCCCCCCCCCGGTACTCATCAATGTGATGAGCTTTCAAGTCCGAACCAAAATGAAGGGGGGGGGGGGGGGTCTTCATAGTTTTGCAAGGAAAAAAAAAAAAAGCAGGTTTACTTTGAAAGCAGAGGGGGAGAACTGCACAGACTAGGGTGAAAAACACCTGCATGGGTCCTTCCTGGAGGTAGCCTTGCAGAAACAGCCTGGTGAGGCGTCCGCAGAGGTGCCTGCGATGTACCGTACAGCAGCACCTTGACCGGCCGAGGGGCAAAGGTACGGCTATGTGGTGCCCGTCACCTGGGCCTCGCCGTCCTCCGAGGTACCTGGCAGAGGATAGGCCTTGTCACAACATCTCACACACAGACCTGTAGCTGAAAAATGTCCCCACAAGGTAAAAAGTATCACATTGGTCCCCACAATGTGGTAAATACAAACACACACACGCGATCCAATCGAGCAGGTGAGTTTCCCTAATGGATGTACTGATTCACAGTGAGCGGTCAACCAGAATTAATAACGATCAGAGGACAGTCACCGCTCACCGCCAGCAGGGGAGATACAGATATCAGGATGAACGAACACCTGCCTTGAGCACCAATACGCAGCAATAGGAAAAAGGAGCATATTACCAGCAGAAGGGGTGGTGCTGGAGGAGGGGGCAATCAGCACGTCGTCCTCCTCGCTGTCCTCCTCGTTGGACTGGGGCACCTGGGGCTCGGCGACCTCGGGGCGTGACTCGCTCTCCTGCTCCGCCCGGCTGCGCAGAGCCAGGATGCGGTGGTGCAGGGCGGCAGCCAGCTGCCCGGTGTCCTTCGAGCTCGCCTGCGACGGCAACGGAAAGACATGAAGACAGAAGGCGGCTGCTGACACACGCGGCATCAACCAGCAGGGGGAGCGGGAGGCCGCGGGCGGCCAGCAGGGGGCGTACCGATATGAGGAAGACTTTGACTCCCTGGTCCTCAGTGTCCATAGCAGTGACGCGGATGCTCTTCTCACTGGCTTTGTCTACCTGCATCTGGGGCCACAGCTTGGTGTTGAGGATCAGCCGCAGGCTCCCTTGTGTTCGCATCACTGTGGGTGGGTTAGGCGCTGTTAGGACCGCCCCCTTCCTCTGGCCACACCCACCGGGCCACACCCCCAATGAAAACATCCCGTCAGGGAAGATGCCCATACTACACAAACCCCATACCCAGTCTGGACTGCAGCGTCCCATCGTCGGCGGACGCCATGTCGTTCAGCCTCAGCAGGCCACGCCCCCTCTCCACCCAGGACTGGGAGGTCTTGTCAAACACAAACAGCTTGCACTGTATCTGTGGGGAACACGGCATCCGCTCGTGGAATTCCTCACATCTATCTCACGCCCAGTCCCCCAGCATGCCCCCGCCCCCAGGCCTACCTGCAGGACGTTGCTCTCCGCCTCCTCGCCAGTGATGACCTCCACCTTCTCCAGCAGGCACCTCTTGGCAGTGGCCTTGGTGTAGGCCGCCGCCGAGGCCTCCAGGCTGCCCGCGGCACCCCCGCCTGCCGCAGACGACAGCTCAGCACGTCGGCTGGCTTCCGGCGCCAGGGATTCACCACCACGCTCCGGCAGGACGCTCCACTCACCGTTCTCGGAAGCGGCCTCCTGCGTGGGGGGCTCGGACACGGAGGGGATCTCTTTGCCATCCTCTGCCGCCAGATCGCTGCCTTTAGGGAGACTCTGAAAAGATTGATTGAGCACATTTCACCACATAGGCAGCACCGGAATCACTGGACCGGACAGGACTAAGAACCGGCAACTCGGAGACCCGGCACTGACTGAAGCAAGCGGCAGTCCAGCCTATGCCTTTCGGGGTTAAATACACGCAGGCCTTACCAGGACTCGTTCAGACATATTCTGCCCAAAGACAAACTTGGCCCCTCCGTCGCAATCAGCCACAGAGTCCTGGGAGCTGTGGAAAAAAAACAGAACAAGTGTGAGAAGCAGCCACTAGGGGGCGGCATGTAGACCACCTCACAGGCACTGGAGTTACCTGGGGGTGTTGATATACTGCAGAAAGTAATTAGTCGCCCCAGACTGAGAGTCTGACGCTGGAGAAGGCTGTTTGGGGTCGTCGAGTGCTGGGGGCTGGCTGGTCCCGTCGACCTGAACACACAGGCAGGTCAGCGGCAGGGATAAACAGGAAGGACGCGGCGCTGGGCCCATCTCCATGGCGACGGGCACGCTCACCTTGACCCTCTCTTTGAGGTTTTGCCCAAACACGAAGGAGGACTCTATGGATGGCTTGTCCCCTCGATCCTCCGTTGCAGCGGTGCCCTGGCCACCAGAGGGGACGAGAGTAAGGCAGGGGACATCTTTAAAGAAGCACCCCCCCAACCTAACCCCCCAAGAAGTATCCAACGTACAGAATACCCACACTACACTGCCCTCCCTCCTCCCTCCCTCCCTCACCGGAGGCTTTGTCGTCTCCATGGCGATGCGCTCCGTGTCCCCAGCGTCGTTACAGGGAGCCCATCCGTCTGCTTTCGCGTCTGAAGAATTGCTGAGACCATTGGTCCCGCTGCTGGAATCTGTACCTGACACACAAAAAAACAGCAAGCTGAGCCCAAGTGGGAGGGTGGAGGTCAAGGGGCAGAGCCTGGAGGTCCCAAGTGCAGAGGGGGAAGCTCACCGGACGCCGTGAAGCTCTTCAGCGGGGGTGGCTGGAGCAGGGCGGGCCGGAGCACGCTGCGGGGGGGCGCCTTGGGCTTCTGGCTGGGGACACCTGCAAGACAACCTGCTGACGGACTGAACTGGAAATCACAGCCCCGCCCAACCACCCCCCTCCACACACAACCTCACCCACCCCCCTCCACACAGCACCCCCCCTCCACACAGCACCCCCCCTCCACACAGCACCCCCCCTCCACACAGCACCCCCCTCCCACCAGCACTCGGCGCCTGGCCGTGAATCAGCGTCGGCGGCTTCAACCGGAAACCAGCGGTCTTCTCCTCTGCAAACACACAGGAGTCAAAAAGGAACCTCAAACTCCCATCACCCCCCCCCCCCCCCCCCAATCCAGGACAGCAGAGTCGCAAGACTGGGCCTCACCGGGTTCAGAGTCCGAGTTCCCGGTGGGCGATTGACAGAAGCTGGATGGCATGAAGACGTTGTTCTTGGAGACTGCAGATTGGCAAAGGAGAGCAGCCAAGTTAGAGGGAGCGAGGCAGACATGACGAGAGCGAGAGAGCAAGGAGCCTGGGAGAGGGGGGGTACCTGAATGCGAGGGGGGGAACTGGGTTAAGGACGATGTCCTCTCCCTCTTCACTGGGGGGCAGTAGCCAGAGTCCTCTTTGTCAGAGTCTGGAAGGATAGAGAGGGTTACTCCAGCGCTGGGACCGTGGCTCATGGACGCATCTCGCCAGCCTAAGGCCTTCTCACCTTCGCCATCCTCCGCGCTCGAGCCGTCCGCAGATCTCTGCGAATAGCAATAGGACAGAGGTTCAGAGCAGGGCAGCTGGACGCCATGGTGGCCCCCAGCCCCCGGACGGCCCCAGCCTTACCTTCTGCGCTTTGTCTTTCTGGAACACGAACACTGGTGGGGCGAGAGCCGGTTTCTCTGAAAAGCAAGACATGCAGTGAGGGGGCTTGTCTGAGCGACAGCCAGGCTGCCACGGTAACAGACACATGTGCCTGATGGTCGCTCATCACCTCCTCCCTAGGATTGCTCTGTGACGCTGGGTTAACTTAAGCTAGAAGTCATGATTGTCCAATAGGAATGCTCCTTACCTAAACTCTTATTGGACGATCATGACTTCTAGCTGAAGTTAACCTAGCTAAGTGAGAAATCCTGTTTCGAGGAACATCCCCCTGACTAGATAGCAGATCCACCCAAACAGACCATTCTGAGCTCAGCAGCCAGAGAAACAAAAGCTCAATGAGAGGGGTGATGAAGTATGACAGCCTTAGGATCTGGGAGTCTTTAGTGTCACAGTATAAGGCCCCTAGAGGCTTGCAGACAATTCCATCACCTGGTTGATTCCCGCATCATGCTCCAGCTGCTTAGTAAACACCATACACACAGGCAGCCTGAAGGGGGCGCTGATGGCTCCAGCAACAATGATGACAACCGTAGCCCACTGTGACCTGGCCACCTACAGCTATAGGGGGTCCCGTTCCATATCAAAGGCCTCGCATCCCGTGAGGGGGCGTGTCAGAGTCACTGTGACTTTCCCCATCTATAATCCACATCCTCCATTCGTAACACCAGCTGATCCAAGCAACAAGCGCTGAGACCCACCCAGTCAACCCTCAGCCTACTGCCAAAACTCATCATGGCCACAGCATAAACTGGAGAATTGTCTGGAGCCAGATAGAGGGTCTCAATAACACCTATATGATATGACAAGCATTAAAGTGGCAGAGGGTAAATAAGTGATTTCTAGCGCTGACTCCCTAGTGCAGGGGTGGGGAACCTGTTCCATGGAGGGCCGGTGTGGGTTTTTGGGATGACCTCTCAATCAGCCAATAACAGTGGGTCTCCAGGACTGGAGTTGAGAACCATTGTTTTATTATTGGGTGATGGAGAGGCTATGCCAAAAACCGGCACCCACACCGGCCCTCCATGGAACAGGTTCCCCACCCCTTCCCTAGTGTATACCCGGACAGCGTGAGATACATGGGCAAAGACCACCAACCTGCGGACACCTCTGACCGCAAAGCCGTCCCTCTGTCCGCACCACGCACGTAACGTCTATAAAAACACCCAAGCAGATGGCGGACCTGGCTATCCCCATTCAACGGCAACCTTCGTTCGCTCGGGCTCCGTCTGGCGGATGGATGCCGGTGGAAGAGGGGTCAGCTTTCTGTCCCTCAAGCCGCAAGCTGCCACACTGACCGGCACAGACACCGTGCAGGCCCGCTCTGGCATGCAGCGCTGCGGTGTTACAGCGTTTCTGTGCCGAGGCAGTGCGCCTGTATTACCGGTGTCCCCCGCCGTTACTCTGTGCGACCTGTGCTTAGAAACCGTGGGTAGCTCCAGAACCAGGCCCGCTCCCTGAAAGTACACACGGACAAATTCCACTGAAAGTCCATGGGCCTCCCCCTGCCCACTTACTGCCTGCGACCCAGCGGGTCGGGTCAGGTCGGCCCGGCCTCCCGCCTTCCCCTCCAGAGAGATTAAAAAGGCCGGGGACCTGGTGGTGTCAGCCAACCGGCCAGCACTATGCTCCCGCAGCTGACCGCCAGGATGCCTCGCGGCCCACTGCGGCCCCAGACCACGTCTCCTAATGGTTTTCCATAGCCACGGATTGCCGTTGGGCCGCCCCACACGCCACCACTCGGCTTTGTTTTCTTTCACAGCCCCACCGCCCCTTACCTTCGTTCGCCAGGTCCGCCATTTTACTTCCTTGCTTACACCCAGAAGCCCCTGCGCGGCCGCTGCGCGTTATCTCCGGCTCTGCTGGTGGGCTGTTCGCGCGCCCGGGCGTGCAGCAAGCTAACTGCGTGTGCAGGGTTCGCGGCAGAGTTGTGTGCGCATGTTCAGACTGTACTGATACTGTTATTGCGTAGACGACTCTAACCCAACCAGTCATTCATTCAAATAAATAAATTTGTAAAACAAAGTAGTAAATGAATGTACAATAAATTATTACACAATTATTTGACATTTTGAAATACAATAATATTATATTTTAAATAATATAATATAATACAATTTAATTTATTGAATTTAATATGTCGAAATAGCAATATTTGTACCCCCGGCAAATTCGCCTATGCTGTATTTTTTCACATGTAATATTTAATTAAATTAAAATTGTAAAAGTACAACAATTCCAAAATCTTATTGGATATTTCATATTAATACTTACAACTAATTTTACAGAGGTGTTAAAAAAATTCCGGGGTGACTTTTTTGTTAAAATGACATTTGACACGTGCAACAAGTTATCGAATTTCACAAGCATAACATACGCACATATATAATATTTTTATAATTTTTATTTTAAAAATATACATAAATGGTATAGTCATAGTTAAAATGCAGAAGACATAATAACTGAATACGATATATTTAACACAGCATAATCATTTTAATGCATCATATTTCTGTCATTAGAGTCTTTCTCAAAATTTATTTTTGAACATATCGCACGGCCCCACAGTTTGTGGGGTAACCAAATAATTGGGAACGGTTGCAGAATGTTATCCTGAAAAAAAGGCTTTTTTTCTACAAATGTATTAATCCGTTAGTAAATTATGCGGGATACCATACCCCTCAGCTCTGACATTTATCTTGGATTTGTCAATTAATGGAACAGCAGTTACGGTTACATCCATAAATATTTGGACAGTGACACGGTTTTCATAATTTTGGTTCTGTACGTCACCACAGTGGATTTGAAATGAGACATTGAGATGTAGTTGAAGTGAAGACTTTTGGCTTTAGTTCTACAGGTTGAACAAAAATATTGTAGAAAAATGTTAGGAACTGCAGTCATTTTTATACACAATCCCCTCATTTCAGGTGCTCAAATGTAACTTGACTCCTGGGTTGCTTTCACTGTATGTTTTGGGTCATTGTCCATCTATATTGTGAAGCGCCGTCCAATCAACTTGGCTGAATTTCACTGGATTTGAGTAGACAGTATGTCTCTGTACACCACAGAATTCATCCGGCTGCTTCTGTCCTCTGTCACATCATCAATAAACACTAGTGACCCAGTGCCACTGGCAGCCTTGCATGCCCAAGCCATCAAACTCCCTCCACCATGTCTTACAGATGACATAGTAAGGCTACCATAGCTGTTCCATGCCTTCTCTATACTTTTTTCTTGCAGTCTTTCTGGTAGAGGTTAATCTGTCCAAAGAATGCTATTCTAGAATTTTGCTGGCTTTTCTAGATGTTTTTTTTAGCAAAGTGCAATCTAGTCTTTCTATTCTTGAGGCTTATGAGTGGTTTGCACCTTGACGCAAACCCTCTATATGTGTTTTCATGAAGTCTTCTCTGTATGGTAGACTTGGATATTCTGACCTCCTGGAGAGTGTTCTTCACTTGGCTGGATGTCGTGAAGGGCTTGTCCTTCACCATGTCTTCCACTAGATGGGGTGGCAGCGCAAGACAGCGTGCACAGATGAACATCTCAGCTCGCATGCTGTGTGACATTTATGACTTTGTTTCACAATCTTGTTACCTGGGAACTCATAAATCTACTTTGAAACCATTTTTGGCAAATACCTCTCAGAAATATCTCAATGTAATGTTTCCGATAATTAATTATAAGAACGAAACCATCAGGCCTTGTCAAACATTCTGTTTTTCAAAAATCTGATGCTGGGAAGAAAATGGTGCCTGAAATATCACAGGTAACAGAATCCAGATGGGAAGTAACAGGACCATAACTGTTAAATGGAAACAGAATGGAAAATCATACGGGCAAATGCTCGATCGACATCCTTAAATAAAGCCTCACAGGATCAAAACGGTTCTGAGAAATATGTATACAACACTGAATTTCATCACCTTCTCACAACATGAGACCCACAGCTCATATTCTACTCGCATTCATCATAATCTATTCACATTCATCAGCTCTGTCAGAACTAACAGGATGACTGACCCATCAAAAGGCATGAACAAAACAACAGAGGCACCTTGCATGTCATATCACCTGTGTATCTGAGCACCCTGCTCTTAAATGGTCATATCCTTTGTTGGTTTATGGCTACTGTCACATTTCCAGGAGCAAAGGACTGCAATATATTTCTAGGGTGGTTTTAAATGAGCTTTTGCTAAAATACAGATCTTTGCTGAGATGTTACACGTTTGGCGATGCTGAGAGGTCGGTGAGAGGTCGAACACGTCCCGCTGCTGTGAATGCTGCTCTGTCTCTCAGAGCCCGATTCCCGAGGCAAATCTCGGCTCCTCCTAGAGCTGTGGGCTGTCCAATGTCCCAGAGAGATATGCTTTATTGGTTTTGTTTGGGGCATGTCAGGGATCCTCCGGTGAAAAAGAAGAATAGAGACAGAATGGAGAAAAGCAAACAAACATAAGAATTTTCTCAGTCCTAAGCTCTCTCGATTACCTTCCAGCTCCCCCCATCTCCCAGCCATTAAATGATATGACACAGAGTCTCTCCCAGACCCAATAAAAGGAGAGCAAGGGTATCCTGGATGGACCTTCGTCCCAGCAGTACACTGTACTGAGGTGCGGCTCCACCCTAGCATCCAAAAATGTAGGACCATGCTCAGTCGTGGGTCATGGGGTGAATTATTATCCTTGACTTTCAGTAGCTAGCAGGTCTATGGGGGGAGTATGGGATCAAAATCTACCCATAATGCATTTCACCAACCAACTCAGTAGATTGTGTCGCCTGGAACAGGAACACATTTTTGAGGGGGGGGGGGGCATTCAGGTGTTCTAGAGTGGCAAGAAGATCAGTCATGACACCTAAAAGATCCATCCGCAACCCCCATTTATCAAAATCACCGTTGAGGAACTTAAGCCCCCTGTCCGCCCCCCAAATCGTACCTCGAATTTATGCAAGATGTCATGTGGTTTATAAGATGTTCCCTGAGAACCTGAGAGGGCTTTTCTGAGTTTGAGATTTCCTGGAGTTTTCATTGCAGGCATGTCATAGCAGAGCCGTGTGAGAGAAAGCCAAGCGCTATGAGGGTCACTACTCCAGCTCTCCGGCAGACACAAGATTAATGAGGCCCTTCATGATGTCAACCTCGGTAGAAAGACAGTAACAAATCATCTTTTTTTTCAAAACTGAAACTGGATCTTTGTTTTGTGTAATGACTACCAAAAACAGTCCCTGTTCCTCCCCTCTGTAGAAATGGAGAGAAAATGTTTTGCTCTCCTCCCCAAGAAAGTGTGCACCTCCCCGGTAAGAGGGGCAACTCCCACACTTAATTAAAAAAAACGAAAATAGACAAAATTTCTAATGTCGATTCATGTTAAGTAGTTACTGTGAAGCTGCCGAACGATGTCATCTCTTTCTCCCACTGGGGGGCGTGGCAACAAGTGAGCGCTCATAAGCCCAGGGCGCTCTGTGAGGGGCAGACCAGCGAGAGGCAGCAGGGAAGGTGCAGCAACACTCCCAGCTTCAGACTCCAGTAAGTAGCTCAGGAATGGGTGCCCCAGTCTTAATAGGGTGCCCCTCTCCTGCATGTGACCCCTCCTCCCAAGTGCGTGTAGATGGTTAAATTGCCCGTTTCTCTCCGTAGCCAGCCACGACGCCGCGCCAGCCGACTAAGAGATGCGATTCAGTACCCTGTTCTTCATCCTCCTCCTGGCCTTCCTCTGCCTCACGCTCGCCCAAGGTAAGACCCGCTCAGGTCCTCTGTTTGACCCAAAGGCTGGGTGGGAAATGAAGTAAGTGGGTTAGGGTTAAATGCATGGCACACACAGAGATAATAAGCTAATACTCCAGTAACAATTTTGAATACCTGAGTTAAAAGCTGCGTTTACATTGGAGTGACACTTCAGATAACAGTGAGCCAAGGGTGTAGATTTGGGTACAGACGATAGGGTCGAGACCCTACCCACAATCAACGCAGAAATCAAATACACACCCTTACGGGGAGGTAAATTTGTGGGTGCTGGGTGGGGGGCATGTGACAAAGAGGGGATCGGAACCTAAACCACAGGCTGGAAAACAGAGAGCCAGATGGGGGGGTGAGGGGGTGGGTTATGAGAGCAGAGAGGCTGGGACATAAGGAAGCATCTAACTGTCAGGATGGAGCTTAGCATTTAGCGTATGGGGGCGTGAATTTCTACAAATCCCAGGATGAAGGACAGGTCACATGACCAGACTTCACCGCTCCACAAATCTTCCTTCATCATTCACACCACCATAAACCAGTGTCTGGGCACGAGATGGTAAACTTGGCTCTGTTGTGGGATTTGAATGTAGGAGCCTATGAGGACTGTTGTCTGAGGTATGTGGCACCAGTTAAGAGAAGCACCAAAAGGACGGTGGTGAAGTATAAGAGACAGGAGGTGGACGGTGGCTGCAACATCCCTGCCATTGTGTGAGTACCGCTGTCCCGGGGACATGCGTGTCACGCGGCCTCACGGTGTCGCTCACTGTGGTGACCAGCTCGGGTTTCTGTGTCCGATAGGTTCATCACGAAAAGAGATAGAGCCTTCTGTGCTAACCCAAAAGAGCAATGGGTTAAGAAGCTCATGATCTTCGTGGACAAACTGGCTCGGAAGGTAGGGAGATGTGTGCAGAACCTTGCGAGATGCAGACTTCCTCCAGTAGTCATTATGAGTACATATATACTGGTCTGACGATTTTCTACCCCCCTCCCTGCCCTCAAAGGGACCCAAGAAGAATATCTAAGCCTGAGGTGAGACCCACACACACACTGCCCAACAACGACCATCATCGACTCTCTTTGGCTGATCTCATTAAAACCAACAGGATGCAGAAAGACCCCCCACTTCGACTGATCCCAGAACAGAAGTTTCTGCCACTCAGCCCAGCTCAGATGGCGAGTCCAGCAGAGGGATTGGTATCACTGATAAATCTATTCACACGTGTCACCGACGTCACACATCTGATTATCGTTCAGGGTACATTACAGTATGTGCACCAGGTCCTCTGCCTACAGAAATTACTGTATTTTTATTCTTTGGGAAGCATATAAATTTCCCCTGTGATTAAAACTAGCCTTTTTTCTTAAACGATGCGAGCTGAGGTTGATTTTTATGCTGCAGGACCTGTGAATGTGAAGGGAGAATTTATTTTGTGATATAAAGTAACTTTTCATGTGTAAACTGCTTGGGGAAAATGGGTTAGCAAGAGGACGAACCACGGAGTCGCAGCTGTGTGGCTCCGAGCGCGTTTAACATTCAGCTCTCTGTGTCTGTGTATCACTATAAGCTCATATTCTTACCTTCCAATAGCTATTATTGTGAAGATGTTATTATAGTGAATTAATAAAGTTACATCGTATTTTTTAATCATTCTGTGTGAAGTGTGTTTTTTTAATGTCCGGATTTGGCACGCCGAAATGTAAAAGCTCATAGTTACACTTGATAAATTTTGTGTTGAAGTAGAAACTTTAACATAATTACAAGCGCAACCAACATGAACGTGCAATTATGAACATGATCAAGGGATTGTCTGGCTTAGGAACTGAGAGAAAAATTCCTGCTAATCAGAAAACGATGAAAGATTGACGAACAAATAATTAACAGAGGCATGACATGAAATTATCACCGGGGGGGCAAATACTATGTTTGTGAAATGCAAGACACTTCACTGCTGCTCCAGATTATGACAGGTGCCTAATTTCCCACCAACACCACCAATTCAAACCATGTGACTTTGAAATCTTTGCCTAAAGAAATCATAGGCTGCCAGTCTTACACATGTAAACAGAATTTTGTACTGCATAAGTCTGTAAATATTTGCATTGGGCCAAGCTGACTGGCACAGACCAAGCGGGGGCGCTTCGGGAATAATCCGTCACGGGTATTGACCCTGACTGACAAGCAAGAGGCACGCTTTTGTTCTCCAGAGATGGTGGAAGATTCTGGAAACTGATCTTAAGTATTCTTATTGGGTGTCACATCTAAAGTATCATGTTATGGACGACTGATGTCTGCGCCCTCTTTGGGGGTGAGGAATGAGGCCAGGGGCTGGGGGTTGGGGCTCCTGCATCACTGTTCCCCTCCCAGATCCCAGCAGTTGTGACATGGCAGGTCAGCAAACACCTTTTAAACCTTAATTCCCTCAGAAGTGTGGACTTGGTCAAAAATACGTGTGCAGACGGTCCGCATCTATGCCCTGGGTAATTCTCGGGTGTTAATGTGCTCAAGGATCTGCAGCCGACTCGTTCAGCCTCCGTTCCTGCGGATGCATCGCTTCCTGCAGTCTGTATAGCCTGAAGTCTCCTTACAGCTCTTACATGGCTTCAGCTGTTAGTGTAATTGAGTGTGAACAGTGCCACAGTCACATTAATGTACCGTTTACTGTTGAGTATTAACCTGTTATTTCTCTAAGTGAGTTTATTTCCGTTTTCTTCATCCTTATTTCACAACAAATTTCCAATCAACTTTCTGTTCTGATAAAGACTTAATCAGTTAAATATTGTCTTATCCTAATTTGTTAACTCGCTGCAGATTAATTTCACATCCATTGAATGCGGTGAGTAAGAAGGGAATGTTTTGGATGTCATTAAGCACGACTGACTGCTACTGTAAGTTTACAAGAAACTGTGAGAACTGAGCTGCCCTGCCAAAGGACAGCAGCACCTCGCTGTGACAGATAAGGGGACGTGAACCATAGCCGGCACTGGATGGGACTTTCTGACCACCATGTAACACAATACAGGCCGAAGGAAAGCGTGGCTTCTGTTTGGTAACGCTAGCCTGTGGCCCAACACGATATGGGTGTGAGAAAGACGAATCAGGCGCGTTTAGGCAACGTGCTGAGGCACGAACACTTGACAGCTCCTAGATTACAAGGCTCAGGAGATGACAGCGTGCCTGTCTCTCCTTGGGAAAAGTGCTTGTCTGTGTTTGGGCCAACTGGCTCCAGGAGTTATTTAATTAACCCTCTCGTTTAATGGCACCTTCACCTCTTGGTCCGTATACATGGATCAGCTATAATTTTAACACCACCTGTCTAATATTGTGTAGGTCATCCTGGTGCCGCCACAAGCGGGTCTGACCCATCGAGGCATGGACTCCATAAGACCTCTGAAGGTATAGCAGCAGATCCTGTTAGCTTCAGTTCTGAGGCTCTTGTGCCCATTGTAGGAACTTTCAGCAGTGGACAGGGGTCAGCTTGGGCATTCTGACCAGTTTGCAGCTATCCAGCACCATACACAGCAAGCTACCATGCACTGTGTGTTCTGATACCTTTCTATCATAACCAGCATTAACCTTTTCAGCAATTTGTGCTACATTAGCTCTCCTGTAAGATCAGACCAGATGGGCTGGCCTTCACTCCCCACGCACATCAATGAGCCTTGGGCACCCATGACCCCATCACCGGTTCACCGGTTGGCCTTCCTTGGATCACTTTTGGTAGGTACTGACCACCACATACTGGAAACACTCCAGGAAACATGCTGTTTTGGAAACCCTCTCGTCTAGCCATCACAGTTTGGTCCTTGTCAAAGTCACTCAGATCCTTACACTTGCCCATTTTTCCTGCTTTCAACACATTAACTTCAAGAACTGACTATTCACTTGGCTAATAAATAATGGTACAGGTCGCAACGACATAATCGATGTTACTCACGTCACCTGTCAGTGCTTTTAATGTTATAGCTGATTGTCTATAACTATTGGGTGTAGCCTAAAGTGAAGGTAATTAGCTGGTAGTGAAATCAGTTACAAGAAGGCATTAAAATAGCATCATGGGTAAGCTCCAGTCCCCAGGGACAATGGCAGACTTTGTTCCAGCCTCCGCTTTTGTGACCAATGTCTGTCTATATGCCCAGTGGAGACACCCATCTGTCTCTAGTCAATAGGGACCTCGTTAGGAGTTGTTACACATCAGGACAGCTCTGCGGGTCCATGGGCGGGACCTCAGGCCCCCTTCATCCACCCCGCTGTTGCTCTGACACCTCAGACTTGCTCGCAGGCTCCGAATGACTCCTATTACTGTGATGGTAACAAATTGCTAAGAAAAACAGAAACGAGAGACTGCTGAAAGTGCTGCCTTTAAAAGGGGGAGCAATTTGGAGGAAAAGCAGCCCCAGGGTTCCATTTACTCTCTGCCTGGACCTGTGCTGCTGCAGTACAGCCCCCTATAAGTGTTTATTTAAAAGAACAGATTGCATTCAGTAAGCGACAATGGATGCATGTGTAATACATATATACTATATAAACTTATATAGCATAATAAAGATTTGTATCAGTGATTCTTAAAAAGAGGAATAAAATCAATATTACAATAAAACATAATAATCGTCACTGCACAAAGGAACTACTGGGGGTTGCACAAGTCTGGCACAAGCTTTGCACAAGTTTTGGAGCAACTCCCACGTTACAGTCTGTTTGTATTTTCAATTTGCGTATAAACACAGATAGACATATTTTTGTCAACACCTTCAGACCTAAAAAATGTGCATTATTCTTCTGAATTTTGGTCAAAACTTGTTATGCAATATAATAATTTGTAGTAATTTTACATTGGACATTCACATTTCAAAATGTATTAGATTAATTTTTTTAATCATTTTATTATGCCTCATAAGGCTTCCTCCAAAAGGTAAATAAAGCGCTGATATAAATAAAAATCTAATGAAGGTGGTGGATTAAATATATAAGAAACAAGAACATTTATATTAATCAATCCAAAATAGATTATAACATTTCTTGATATATGTAAAACTGAGATTAAAATCAAAACATTTGGGCAGATTCCAACCTCACTGTCATATTTACTTCATATTTATGTCACATTTACTAATCATCATGTAAGAGACAAGTCACTGTAGAAGTCAGTATTGTTGTGTCTTTGAAAAGGTGCTATTCATATTTAAAAATTCCTATGAAATTAACAGAACTTATTTCAGATACATCCATCCATCCCATCCATTTTCTGAAACCACTTAATCCCAGCTGGGGTTGCAGGGGGGACCGGAGCCTATCCTGGGAATAATGGGTGCAGGCAGGAACTAACCTTGGGTAGTCGCCAACACACCGCAGACTTCAGATACACAAATAAGATATTCAAACACAGTACGAAGAAAACAAGCTCGTCTTTGTCACGTCCCCATCGTGCCGCTCCTCCTGTGTGCCACACCCCCTCGTTAACCTCATGTGGAATCCGCCTGGTCGCCAGCTGTATCTAGTCTTGTTTAATTGAGTTTGTGTATTTAAGTGCTTCCCAATTAGTCTTTTACCCGTCTTGTCACTGACATCTTCATGTCGCTCGTGTTTCCTCTGTTCCTGATCGTGTTTACCCCCAATAAATCCCAAGTTTTTACCCTTCACTCCTGGACTCCCACGTCTGTCTCTCCACCATGCCTCAGCGATACCTGACAGTCTTAATGTTAATGTATGTAACATTAATATATTCAGGTGTGAACAAAGGACCTTGAATTGGGCTTTCAAATTTCCTTTTCACTAGATGCAAGATTATGATTTGAAAACAGATGATGCACATCTGATGTTTTGATGGATGGATGACGCACATACTCTGCCTCTATGAAGTCCATAACTTCAGCAGATACGTATTTTTCTGGTGCCTGCATGAACTGATGATGAAAATCACATCAGTTTAACCAAAATATCTTAAAATGGAATGAAGCAAATGCCCTTTCTTCCTTGTTTTGGTTGGAAATATGTTTTGTCATATGTGGAAGAAATAATGATGACGATTACATCCCATGAACATGTGACCATTCTGCTGAGTCTAGGCTTGAATGGGAGGTCTCCCGATCAGAGGCACAGAGGCTGACCCTGCTGAACTGTACACCACCTCCAAGAAAGAATTCAACTTGCATGTCTTGGTGTCTTGCATCAACCGTCATGACCGTGGCCAACCCCCGGTTCTTGTCATATATGATGGCCAGTCAAGCTGAATGCTAGCCCAGCTGAAGTTCCCGCAGGTCGTCCAATGGGCTCCTTCTCCATGGCCTCCATTCGTAGTACCAGAGTACTTTCATCTGTGGCCTCAGAAGTGTTGGCCCAACAGACTGCTGGCTGCTCCTATCCAGGTGATACAGTGTTGGGCAGAAACACCGGCATGAGTGGCTCACTACAAGAGCACAAAAACTACATGCAGTGACACTCATCCTCTGTCATATTGCTTGGTCGGTCTTCCCTTTTCCTGGCAGTGATCTGAGTTATTGCATTGGCAAGAATCTTAGAAAGATTCTCAGAGGATCGAGGCCATATTGTCCCAGATAGCCACTGAATCATGTTTGTATTATTGCCAAAGTCTTTAAAATAAAACAAAACTTGTTTTGGTAGCATTTGTCAGCACCATCAGACAGAAATCC